AAAACCACTTCACGCCGAATATAATGGCTTGTAAAAGTTCACACTGAAATGCAGGACCGGGGTAGCGTAGTTTGACAAAAAAAAGGTTTCCATAAAGCTAAAAATCACTGATGCTTTAAGCATGGACTATTTCATGCACGAAAACTAAAAATTTGATGAATGTGATATGTGATATTAGACACTGATCGTGTACACATATTTTAACATTTTTACTGCTTAACGACTGTATTTCTTACTTACTGTATAAGAAATAGATTTAAAAACAATTTGCTGAAATAAAAAACGTCAGAAAAAATGGGGGAAAAAATTCGGATTCTTGGTGGGTTTGAATGCCTTCTAGCGTTCATATTAATGTCCGTTCATAATTATGTCCGTTCATTTAATGTCCGTCTAAATAAGGTCCGATAAGGTATTTATATCCTGTCGACAGGAGTGACTGCGGAAAGTTAAAGATGGATGTTTTAACGAGGACGTGTGTTTTGACGATCAAAAATGGATGGAAAAACAAACAGAAAAGATGACAAACTTTATAAGATCGAGGATGTTTGAACCACTTTTAATGTGAGACGCTATTCTAATCACCACATTTTATATAGCTGTCTTACTTGTACAAACCAAAAGTCAAATCAAGTAAATCACAATGCTGGCAAGCATAACCGTTGCCCTTATATTCACAACACTATGTACCCCCTATACTATTATATCCCCTTTATTGTTTTCCAGGCATTAAGACTCATCGAAAGTAGTTCAGCAGGTATATTTAAGTTCAAAACATTCTAATTCAATGTTAAAGATGACAGGAATAAGAAATAGTTATGTGGAGGTTTTTAAGAAATTTGCGCAAAATACGCGCCAGCATGTTATACGAAATTAGGTAAAAAACCCAAAATCGCCATATTCAGGTGCCTTAAAAACCATGTTAAAATCGAGTTAGAGATCTGAAACTTTGCAGAGCGTCTAGACCTTGTCCAAATCGACTGTAAAAAAAATTTCATGTTGCAGGAGTATCGGGAAGTGGGTTTTCTGGAACCCCTGTTTTACAACAGATTGTCGTGAAGATATATATATCACAATGCTGGCAAGCATTACCGTCGCCCTTATATTCACAACACTATTTACCCCCTATACGATTATATCCCCTTTATTGTTTTCCAGGCATTAAGACTCATCGAAAGTAGTTCAGCAGGTACATTTAAGTTCAAAACATTCTAATTCAATGTTGAAGATGACAGGAATAAGAAATAGTTGTATGGAGGTTTTTAAGAAATTTGCGCAAAATACGCGCCAGCATGTTATACGAAATTAGGTAAAAAACCCAAAATCGCCATATTCAGGTGCCTTAAAAACCATGTTAAAATTGAGTTAGAGATCTGAAACTTTGCAGGGCGTCTAGACCTTGTCCAAATCGACTGTAAAAAAAATTTTATGTTTCAGGAGTATCGGGAAGTGGGTTTTCTGGAACCCCTGTTTTACAACAGATTGTCGTGAAGATATATATGTATGTATAGACGCTTTTTGCAGTCAATTGTAGCCTACATTTAAGTGTCCGTAGATTCAAAAGTATAAACGATACAGTCATTTCGAACCACAGGTTTTAAAGATAATTGTTTAAGCTTTAGTTTACATTGTATTGAAAAATAATTTAACGTCATCATCATCACTTGATGACGTCATCAAGTTAAGTGTTTTTAAAACTTGACTTTTGACAAAGTAACAACTTTTTAAATCGATTTTACACTATTAAGGAGTAATTTTATTCAAAATCTGAGGACATTTTCATCTTAGATAATTGTTCAAGCATTCCGAAAATCTACCGGAATAGTTTCCTACCTTGCTCCTTCATAAAGATATTTGCTATTGAAGTTAGTGCTTTTTTGAAGAATAATTTTATAAAAACACAAAAGTTGTGAATTAGTATTCTCTGGTGTTGGGCCATCCCTTGGGTTGTGGAGCTCAATTTTGCTTCTTAAAGGTGTAAATTGTGTTATAGGCTAGTTTTAAAGTTAAAAATCGAAAAGTTGCACACGTGGGGACACGCCCAAATTCATTTAAAATAGCTAAAATCGCTAAAAATTTTGATTTTCACGATTTTTATCAACTTTGGAGTCCCGCTGTGATCCAAGTTCTTTCTGAAATCTTCTGAAACTTTGCATGCTTATCAAACTATATATTAAATACCACTATGCAAAAATTTACGGTGATTCAATATTGTATGCGCACGCGACGTCCGCTCAAAGTTTGCACGTGCGAAAGGTGAGAAATTTGCTCATTCGTGATTTCGAATATATTCTGCTTTCCACGATATTTAAATGGCATTATATATGAATTTAATGCCAACTTGAATGAGTAAAAAGTGCCATATTCAGTCGGTTATCGACAGAAATACCTAACTAAACACAAGGAAACGTTTTCAAAGGCAGAATTTCGAAATCGTCGAAATTACCTCCTTGTTAATGAAGTTTCGACTAGCTGTGTAAATTATCCTGACATTATAATCAAAAAGAGATGATATTTGACCAAAACCCATAATCATGGGTAGAGTGTACCGCTGCCAGTGTCTCTCTTTTCCAAACAAAAGGAAATGATATTAATTTGAGGAACAGTCCGCTAATGCAAATTGATACCGAGAATGAAATCGGTCGCTCGCTTTTTCCATTCGATCACGGCTTACGAATTGTAATAAAGCTTATTGATTTGAAAAAGCGAGCGACCGATTTCATTCTCGGTATCAATTTGCATTAGCGGACTGTTCCTCAAATTAATATCATTTCCTTTTGTTTGGAAAAGAGAGACACTGGCAGCGGTACACTCTACCCATGATTATGGGTTTTGGTCAAATATATATATATGTATAGACGCTTTTGCAGTAAATTGTAGCCTACATTTAAGTGTCCGTAGATTCAAAAGTATAAAAGATACAGTCATTTCGAACCACAGGTTTTAAAGATAATTGTTTATACTTTAGTTTACATTATATCGAAAAATAATTTATCGTCATCATCATCACTTGATGACGTCATCAATTTAAGTGTTTTTAAAACTTGATTTTTGACAAAATAACAACTTTTCAAATCGATTTTAAAGCATTAAGGAGTAATTTTATTCAAAATCTGAGGACATTTTTATCTTAGATAATTGTTCAAGCATTCTGAAAATCTACCGGAAAGTTTTCCTACCTTGCTCCTTCATAAAGATATTCGCTATTGAAGTTTGTGCTTTTTTGAAGAATAATTTTATAAAAACACAAAAGTTGTGAATTAGTATTCTCTGGTGTTGGGCCATCCCTTGGGTTGTGGAGCTCAATTTTGCTTCCTAAAGGTCTAAATTGTGTTATAGGCTAGTTTTAAAGTTGAAAATCGAAAAGTTGCACACGTGGGGACACGCCCAAATTCATTTAAAATAGCTAAAATCACTAAAAATTGTTATTTTCACGATTTTTACCAACTTTGGAGTCCCGTTGTGATCCAAGTTCTTTTTGAAATCTTCTGAAACTTTTCATGCTTATCAAACTATATATTAAATAACACTATGCAAAAATTTATGGTGATTCAATATTTTATGCGCACGCAACGTCCGCTCAAAGTTTGCACGTGCGAAAGGTGAGAATTTTGCTCATTCGTGATTTCGAATATATTCTGCTTTCCCACGATATTAAAATGGCATTATATATGAATTTAATGCCAACTTGAATGAGTAAAAAGTGCTATATTCAGTCTGTTATTGACAGATATGCCTACCTAAACACAAGGAAACGTTTTCAAAGGTAAAATTTCGAAATCGTTGAAATTACCTCCTTATTAAGTTTCGACTGTGTAAATTATCCTGACATTATAATCAAAAAGAGATGATATTTGACCAAAACCCATAATCATGGGTAGAGTGAACCGCTGCCAGTGTCTCTCTTTTCCAAACAAAAGAAAATGATATTAATTTGAGGAACCGTCCGCAAATGCAAATTGATACCGAGAATGAAATCGGTCGCTCGCTTTTCCCATTCATTCACGGCTTACGTATTGTAATAAAGCTTATTGAATGGGAAAAGCGAGCGACCGATTTCATTCTCGGTATCAATTTGCATTTGCGGACGGTTCCTCAAATTAATATCATTTTCTTTTGTTTGGAAAAGAGAGACACTGGCAGCGGTTCACTCTACCCATGATTATGGGTTTTGGTCAAATTACTTAAAACAAGTGTTCGCACTCAAAAGTAAAACAATTGCATAATGCAATATTATTGCGGCCAATGACCAATGAAATTCCTAGTACTACTATTATATTAGCATTCCCCGAAGTGGGAAGCCTCCACACTCCAGTCATTGTTATATTGAATAACAATATTTAATGAGAGTTATCGTAATCATAACAACAAAAAGGACGAAAGACGCCGAAAGGAAATTTTGCTTTTGCAGCGGGTATTTGCTCCACGTTGCATGTCCTGTGTGCGTGCAAGCCGGTAAAATAAAGGGAGGTGCAATCTAATCACAAACGTGATCTTTGTCAAAGCGGGTATGCGCTCACGTACAAAAAAATGTTTAAATACCTTACGAGACATATTTATGTCAGACATAATTCCGATGACCTAATGATTTGGGGACGAAAATATAATTTACACTTTGAACCTCAGACACCAGCCTTAGGCTATTTTAGGCTATTTTACACCACACTTTTGTACACTACACTTTTGCCTTTTATGGTGTAAAAAAGTGTAGTGTACCCACCCCCCCCCCCCCCCCCCCCCACTAGAGTCTGTAACTTATCTGCAATGCCAAGAGATATCCATGATCCAATAATTCTAGTTCTTGTACAGGGATGGATTCAGAGCACCTAACCCGCAAGGATAATGTGAAGTTTCCCTAGACTTTGAATCGGACTAAAGAGTTATGGAATTTTGTGGTCGTATCTTTCCGCTTTCGGTATCATTGTCTTCGATTTAGGATAATTGCAATTTATCTAGTCTGTGATCTTTACACTAATTTACCCATGGAAAAGGAAAAAAGTATATCTTGCTAAATTGAAAACCGATATAATTGTTGCAATGATTACAATACAGTTAATAATAAAAATAGTCAGCTTCCCGTCCGTTCAATCATTACATTACATTGTCAGTCAAATGAGTGAAATGTCAAAATAAACGATGTCGCAGTTTTATTAAGCGTCGTCCAATCAATAAGATTACGATTGATTAGTTTATAATAACTGTTTCAGGAGACCGGAACTTATCTTACGTATTCCCACATTTTACGGTGCTAATTCTGAAATCAAGATTCAAATTTCTAGAAATTCTGAAAATAATTTAACCCTGACACCAAGTGATCAAAACTAATCTGTTAAACTAAGTAGTTACGTAATCATATTGAAGATCGCATCCTCTTTTCTCAGGCTCGAAGCCCTTTCACATATCCCTCTAACCTTAATTATAAATAATTATTATAGATCATTAAATAACACGCATCCACTGCATTCTACATCGAGCAATTCAATAACTAACATTATAAATACAAATTGCTGAAATAAAATTATTAAAAGTAAATTTTCTAACTTATAGCTTGTAAGCGTAGTGCCATACGAAAATTTAATTCAATACTCCCTATGTCGATATCTTGGTCTCACAAATAATACATTTCGGTCAAAGCTGCTTTCAATTCGCACATGAAAGGACGCTGTTTCGTCAACAAAAAAAACAATAACCTAGCTGTTCCAGTATGAATTAACAAAATCAAGAAATTGTGCTTTTAAGTTTTCTGTAGATCTTGTTTCGCGGACTGTTCTTGATAACAGTGAAATCGACAATGGCGTGACATTTCAACTCGAACAGTAGATTTAAAGTCCTTCTTTAGAAGTTAAGAGGAAAGCTTTTCACCGGCGCCTACTTCTTGTGACCCTCTGAGCAGGACTCTTCTTCGGAGTGGCCTTTTTAGCCGGGGTTTTCTTCACCGGGGTCTTCTTCTCCACCACAGGTCCTTTCTTCTGAGCCGGCTTCCTTTTCGCTGGAGTCTTCGCAGGAGTATTCACTTCTCTGATCACGGATAGTTTAGGTTTTTTGACTAAACGGGATGACTCCTCGACTTCAGCAGTTTTCTTTGATTTAGCAGCAGCAGCTTTTTTTGCAGCTGGTTTTTTTGCAGCAGGTTTCTTGGCGGCTGGTTTCTTTGCAGCAGGTTTCTTGGCGGCTGGTTTTTTGGCAGCTGGCTTCTTTGGGCTAGGAGTCGCTTTTGCGGCGACCTTTTTGCTTGCAGGTTTCTTAGGGCTGGGAGCTGCTTTACCGGCGCGGCCACGACGAGTAGCAGGTTTTGCTGCCGGTGACTTTGCGATGACCTCGTCTAACATTGCTTCCTCCATGGTAAGATTGAGGTCTTCTTTCTCTAGAGCAATCAAAGCTTTCTGTAGGGTAGCTAATTCATCCTCAGTATCATCCTGTTTGTTTCTCTTCGAGTCTGGCTGCTCCTTACCTTTGGTTGCTCTCTTTTTGCCTACCGATTTTTCTGTAGGTTCAACTTCCTTAGCAGATCGACCACGTTTGGTGTTTGGTGCTGGCGAGGAGCTTTCCACTTTTTCTGAAGGAGTGGGCGTTTTTCCTCGTCGGGCTTTCTTTGCCGGCATTTCGGAAACTTCCTCTTCGATCTCAGCAGCTTTGCCTCGTCGACCACGTCTTGGAGTTGGAGCTGTTACCTCTAGTTCAGAAATCTCGACTGCTTTAGCTTTTCTGCCTTTGACAGGGGTTTTCTCAGCCTTTGGTGTTTCTTTTGAGTTTGCTCTTCGTCCTCTAGCAGGGGTTACTGGTTTTGGCTCTTCCTCTGACTTTGCTCTGCGTCCTCTTCTTGGAGTGGGTTTTGAAATGGACTCGCTTTTCTCAACTGACACTGATTCAATTTCATGAGTTTCGATTTCATCATTGATTGAGACTAGAGCGGCCTTGCCTTTACGGCCCCGGGTTGAAACTGGTTTCTCTGGCCCAGGTGCTTCTATTTCCTTGACTACCTTTGCGGGCCTCCCCCGACGTTTTAGTGCTGGTGCTACGACCTCTGTGGCTGGTTCAGTCTCGGTAATTATCTCACTCTCTACATTCTCAGCCGTCACTTTTCGTCCACGCTTTGCAGATTCGGCTACGTTCACTGCAGCAAACTCTACTACTTTGCCCCTCCTTCCACGTCTTGAAGCCGGCTGAGCTTCGGTATCTTTCTCTACAGTTAAGTCAGATTCCTCAGGTTCAGTGATCGGCTGTGGTTCAGGTTCTTTTGTCTCTACTTCCTCCTCCGATTTTGCTCGCCTTCCACGCCCACGACGTTTTGGCGGTTCAGCTACTTCTATAGTCTCTGGTTCAGCTACTTCAACAGTCTCGGGTTCAGCAACTATTTCCTCAATTTTTGCTGGTCTTCCCCGCCCACGCCTCTTAGGAGCGTCTTCGACCAGTTCTATAGCTGGCACCTGAACGGAGATATCCTCAGGTTTAACTATTTCTTTGGCTGCTTTCCGACCTCTGCGCTTAGGTTGATCAACCTCTACCACTATATCTTCTGTAACAGCTACAGTTTCCTCAGCTTTCACCAAAGCACCATCTTTTTCAACAGCTGGTTTTCTCCCACGTCGACCCCGCGTTGGTTTGATAGCTGTTGCATTTTCTGTATTAGCAGGTTCTTGTTTTTTCCTTCTTCCGCCTCGTCTAGATGTAGGCTTACTAAGCTCAATTTTAACTTCCTCCTCAAACTTTGAAATGACTTCATCTACATTTGGGGCTCCAGGAGAATTAGGAACATTTTCTGATACGAAAAGTTTGCATATGTCACCGGGCAATGTGCTAGTACGCTTTGCCTTGTCCAGCACTTTTGTCACCGATTCCACCTCTAGAGTTTTGTAAAGTTTGGTGACCTCTTCTTCTTTAACTTCACAGTGGAACATATTTATCAGAGCTTCAGGGTCCAGGTCGGACTCTTGCTCCTGTTTTGGTTCTTTGGGCAGTCTAAACAAATTCTGGAGCGCTATTGGATCAAGTTCTAACTCTTCCTCCGAGGTCTTCTTCGTTACATCGGGATTCAAGAAGAGCTTTATCAGAGAAACAGGATCGAGGACCATTTCCTCGTTTGCAGAGGTCATTTTTCTGGGTATTCCGAACATTTTTCTCATAGAAATGGGGTCAACCTCAGGATGTTGGTCGTCATCCTCCAACGTCAGGACAGTGCTTAAAGCGCCGAAATCGTAGCTCTTGTTTTGGGACCAGCGTCTTCTGACCATGGGGGTGATGACTGCACACAGAGTGTTAACTTGCTGTTGTAACTCTGGATCTTCCTCGCCCATTTCTTCCTCAGAATCGCTTTCTTCGTCAGACTCGCTGTCTTCTACCTTCTCAGCGTCAACTCCCTCTTCAATTTCAAGTGGAGCCTCTTCATCAACTGTAGGCTCAGCGTCATCTGTGATCACATCAGTTAATTTTTCTTCTCCATCAGAGATGACAAGATTATCGGGCTCTGTATCAATATTCTCGATTTTCTTTGAAGATTCGGGTACTTCTTCAGATGGTTCTTCTTCAATCACCATTGGCTCTTCGTTTTCTTTGTTAGAATCATCAGCAACAACAAGTTCGTCAAAAGTATCCTCCCCAGTTGGCGTAGCGTTATCTTCTTGCAGTTCATCGCAAGCTTCTTGAGGTTCCTGATTGTCAAATTCATTCAGGACGTCAACAGCTTTGTCAGCAGTTTCGTCCGTTATTTCTTCAGTTTCCCCTACCTTCTCATCTGATTCCTCTATCTCCTCATCAATTTCTTTCATTTTTTCATTTATGTTTTCCTTAAGTTCTACTGACTCGTCATTCGTGTCCTCCATCTTCTCTTCAATGTTCTCGTAAATTTCTTCTTCAAATTCTCGAAGTGTCTCATCTAAATGCAAGGGTTCTTCATCCTCACTACCATCTGAATCTGTGTAATAGTTTTCTACAGTGAACAGCCTACTAAGGTCACCAGGAAGAAGAGTTTTGCGGAGGGCCAGAGAAGATCGTCTGAGAAAGGTAGTCGCTTCTTTCTCCGTAACAATCCTCCCCTCGGAGTCCGGAGCTTTGTAGAGTTGTTCCACATCACATGTCTCCACTGCCTCGTCGAACAGGCTGTTAAGTGCTTCACCATCGATGATGGCAGACTGCCGCTTCTCCTTAATCAGATTTGGATTAGCGAACAGTTTCATCATGGCGACCGCATCCAGACACTCAGACTTCTTGGGTTTCTTCGTAGCTTTGAACAGTTTTCTCAAAGCGGCAGGATCAATCTCTGGGCCTGACTCGGTCTCCTTCATGATATTGTTGACGCTTCCAAACTCAAAGTCCGGATCGTTCTCGTACTGCATCATGACAATGGGGTCCATCATCTTACAGAGCTGATCAACAGAGTCTGGCTGGTAATCGTCAGAAAAGATCTCAACAAGCTCCTCGACATCAACACTCTTCTTAATCTCCATGTTCTCGTCACACAGTACCTCCTCCAGCTTCTTCAGAGGAACCTCTTTAGACTCTGTTGGGTCCTCAGAGAAGCTGTTCTGGAGTACTTCCTCGCACTGCTTCATGATCGCACTGGTGATCAGTTGAGCTTGTGGAGATCCTTTTGGAGCTTTGAGAAGTGTTTCCAGTGTCTGAGCGTTCACCACTGCAGCCAAAGGTGATTGTGGCACCGGGACTGGTACCTGAAATATGACGTTGTCAGATATTGGGTTTAAAATTCAAAATATTGTCAAGACTTATTTGGGCGCTGAGTCTAAGGAGGGTCAGGGAGTTCAGCCAAATTTCTAGCTCTCACACTGGACCAAACTTAGTTTGATATAAAAATTCAAAAATTCAATTTCATGACTCAATTGCTCACCCTAATGAAATATTTGAAATACAGCATATTATGTTAGATGATTTGATTTGAAACTTTCATCAAATAATACAGCAAGGGAACTTGAATAAAATCAATGGCGACAAAGAATGTTTAGGCTGGGAAAATGCTCAGATTGGTTAGGGCAGGAACAGGTAATCAGAAATTAGCTGTACTATATATATGATCGGGGAAAACCAGTAACATCCATGTTAGAGCACATGTGCTTTGGACTTTTACTCTGGTATGGCCCCCATGAAATATTACCCACCTTAGACTGTAGAGCTTTCTTTGCGGGAGTTTTAGTGGAAATACTTTTCCGTTTCACCACTGGCTTCGTTACAGGTTTCAACATTCCTGTGGACAAAGAAAATTAGATTAAATTCCCACCTCAGCTCGCCTAGCATTTAATATTTAGGGAAAATCTTAACAGCCCTCTAATAGACAGCTAATAGCCGGCGCTTACTTGCTTTTGGTTATGTCTATTAGCGGGCAATAAAACAGCTGTTAGAGTGCTGTTACCCCGCTGTCATCAGTTTTGACTGAAAAGTTTTAACTAATAGGCCTATTAGTTTAAACCCTTACCATCAAGTTGCTCACCGGACCTTAATAGCGAAAATATTTTTATCGTACCTGTTGATTTACGTTTGGATCCGATTTTCAAGGGAGGTTTCGGCTCGTTCTTCCTCACAACCTTCGTTTTGCCCATAGCTTTAAGTGCTCGCTTTCTCAAAGGAGTCTTAGGAGGCAACTTGACGACAGTTGCTGCGGGAACAGCCTTCCAGGGAGATTTTGTGAGTTTGGAAGCAACAGTGGCCCAAGTTTTTGGTCCAACACTCTTTCTTTTCTGCTGGATAGATTTCCTCTTCTCAAGGATCTCTTTTTTCTTCTCCAGAACTTTCTGTCGTATTTCCTCAACCGAGTCTTCTGAGGAGTCTTTTGGAATCTTTCCGGTTGACTTTCGGGGAGTCTTGGCAACCTTTGCCGGAGAAGTGGCAGATGTTGATTTTCTCTTCAGAGGCGTCTTCGGTTTTGGGATCTGCAAAAAGAAACAGTAAAAATTAAGAAATGTTCTGAGCGGCCTCGCTTTGTTTGTGTAGTAGTTTTGTTTGTTTAAAATGCTGTTTTTAGCCTTTCACTGTCAAATTGATCGATTAAATTAATATGAACATCATTTCCACATCAATTCATTATTACTAATAAGTTATAAGTCATCATGACTCATGAGTATTACAAATTTATAATCCTATCAACGTTGGTAATCACAAACCTGAGATTGCTGAATCATTGCCTTCCTTCCAGCCGCCTTCTGTAGGGCAGTGTGTAAACTCTGCGGTTTCTGCAGGCCCTTCGCACTGAAAATGTAAGCTTAAAAATAGATCATAGTAGAGATTACATATATAAATATTACTAATACCATAATACTTAACAATCCCACCAATGAATGTAAGTTTCCACTCAGTTAATTTAATCGCGGCTTACTAACTCAAACATAATAGCTATTGGGGCGATATCATAATCATGATAATGACGGTAATATCACCACACTTCTCAAATTTCAAATGTAAATTAGATAATCAATCGTGATTATATAAGACATCAAAAAACGTTCAAATATAAAATATCATGCTCGTGCTAAATCGGCCTTTCTCTGACTTTCTCATTTGCAAGCTCAGTAAGGAGAAATTAAGCAGCAATATAATATTTGATTTCGCACAATAATCAAATTATTTTGTTGTTTGCGTAAGAATATTACGCTAATAATAAAGAGCTGTTACTTACAAGAACGGAACAGGAGTTGGAGGAGACGCTCTACATTTGGCGGGGTTCCGAACTTTAGCGGATACAGGAGTTTTTGCTGAAGTGGACAGCTTACCGAAGACCTTGCTTCCTGATGCAGTCTCTTTCGGCGTGGACCGGGGCTTCGTTGGCATTGGGGATTCAACTGACTCTTCTTCTTCCTGAATAGATTATAAATTCATGAAAAAGTTATCGAAATAAAATAAATAATGTAAATGTCTTTCATCATGGAGATAAAAATGAACGATAATATAAATAATAGTTGAAAAAACAAATACATATCATGATTGGGGGGGGGGGGGGGGGCCAACCATATTAAAGTATATTAAAATGTAGGATTTTTCCCGATTTTGACCCGGGGATATACTTTAATATACTTTAATATACCTACAATATACTTTAATATATCCCTATCCTTGGAGGCCTACATCGAAAATTGTTACCCAAAATAAGCTTGAAATGCAATTCTTAATCGATTCCAAAAAGTTCTTGAAAAAATATTGAAAACTGATGGAGTTATTTCAATTTTAATGAAGTCATTTTGGCTAGTATTCCGAACCGAGATATTATGTGCAATTTTCCCAATTTTGTTCATGGAGGTCTTTTTACTTAGTATCCACTATATTCAACAAACACTGAGTTATATCTTTCACATAGAGTTAGTCTCATTAAAAAATATTGAAATTTTATCGAATTTGGGCAAAAGCGAATTTGGGCTAAAGCGTATGCCCAAATATGGGCATATTTTTTAAAGCTCATAGCTCAGCCAATTTTTGACCAATCTGGATGGAAATTCATGTACTAGTCCTAAAACAGGCTTATCTTGCGAATCTGAGTGAAAAATATATTTCATCATGTAAATCTTAACGAAGAATATAAATCTTCTAATTGTAGGTATATTCAAGTATATTAAAATGTAGGATTTTTTCCGATTTTGACCCGGGGATATACTTTAATATACTTTAATATGGTTGGCCCCCCCCATGATTTACACGCATCTGAATTCTACAGCCTACTCACTAATAAATTTCTGCTTACCAAAACGAATGGAATGGTAGCTTTAGGCATTGATTTAGGAGTCTGAGTAACAATAGGCGAGTCGACATGGGCTTTCGTTTGCTCCGAGTTCAGACTAAGGTCCGCCCATGCGATGTTTGCTTTAACCTCTTTTGGAGTCATAGTTTTCCTCCTCTCCTTCTTAGCCTTGGTTTCACTGTCCTGATTAGCAGAATCAAGTGAGCCCAGAGAGTCCGCACCCAAAGACTCCAAACTGTCGTCCAGCTTGAGCTGGCCTACTGGAGTGCCACTGCACACAGCAACACTTTTACGAAGTGGCGTGCGTCCTGCACTCAGCTGAGGGTTGGGAACTGAGAACCTCCCGGGCATACCTCCTCGTCTGATGGGAGTGTTAGCAGGCATGTCCTTATCATACTCTTGTGGTGACAACATCGGTCCAAACCTTACACTCTTCCTAGTGGACTTACGAGTAGCAGGTGCTTTCTCCTGAGCCGGAGTTGTGTCCGGAGTTGTGGCTGGTGTCTTGTTATCTTTCAAGAAATCATCGATTGTGGTGTTAAGCCCTGGCTCCGTCACTACAGACTCAACTAAATCAGTTTTATCAGATTGTTGTTGAGAACTTTCTGGAGTGCTATCATAAATCACAATGTTGTCATCCGACTCCGTTGAAACTAAGCTGCTACCTTCAGAGAGTAACCGAGCTTTGGTTTCCTTGTTTTCGTCCCCATCAGAAGCAGACTTGTTGAGATTGATAATCTCGGACTGAGAGGATGTGTCCAGCATGGAAACATCTGGTGTTTTCACCGGCTCACTCACTCTGTTGCTTGTTTCAAGTTGAATGATCTCTGATTTCTGAGTTTCATCTAAATTGTCTTCAATCGGGGCTGAATCAGTGGTTTTATTGGCTAAGAAATCATTAATAGTATTGTTTAGCTCAGGCTTGATCGCGGAATCTGCCTTATCAGTTTTATTAGTGTTTGATGCCTCAGATTCAGTGTCATAGATTGTGATATTATCTTCAGAAGACGCGGCACTGCTGCCTTGTGAGAGTCGAGGATTTGTGTCTGGTTCCCCAGATTCAGAGTCATAGATTACGATATTATCAGAAGACGCGGCACTGCTGCCTTGTGAGAGTCGAGGATTTGTGTCTGGTTCCCCAGATTCAGAGTCATAGATTACGATATTATCAGAAGACGCGGCACTGCTGCCTTGTGAGAGTCGAGAATTTGTGTCTGGTTCCCCAGATTCAGAGTCATAGATTACGATATTATCAGAGGACGCGGCACTGCTGCCTTGTGAGAGTCGAGGAGTTGTGTCTGGTTCCTCAGACATTGATTTGTTGAGGTTGGTAGGTTCTGAAGAGTTTCTGTAATCGTTTGAAGGAATTTTTTGCGTTTTCTCCAAATCACACTCTTCTTCACTCAACTCAGTTTGTTCCACTTCTGGTTCCTGAGGTTCGCTAGAGGGAATATCTTCTTTATCCTCCTCAACAGTTTCAATCTTCCGTTCCTCGCGAACATTCTCGTTTAAGTTCATGACAGGAACAGTGTCAGAGTCGTCGTTATTGGCTTTAACAGGTGTGACAGGCATCTCAGCAACAACTGTAAGCTTATCTGGTGATTCATCAGCTTCAAAAAGAATGCCGGCAGTCTTAGTTTTGCCAGTTCCCTTGAGTATCGAGAAACCGGTAGATCCTCGGCGGGGCGGCGTCCTTCCTTTAGAAATAGGTTTAATAACTGGCAGTTTCTTGTCAAACTCCTCTGGAGTCAGCTCCGGTCCAAACATAATCTTACTCTTCCTTGGTTTCGGTGGAGGAGTCACTTCAACGTTCTCTTTCTCCTGCTGGAATAAAAACTTTAGATATGGGACCGTGAGATATAGATTTTAGTCTAAGAGGTACGGGTAAACCGCCCCTAAAACGTCACCTGTTTTTTGGGCCCAGATTGCCGAGTTAGGGCTAAATTTACAGGGTTCTGAAGTGTCTAGGAATAATATTTAAACCTTTTTCTAGCCTGCCAGGAAGATTTGGAGATTTGAAAATAAAATCAGGTACAATTTTTTTGACGTTGAAATGGAGTCACTTTTAAAACACCACCCCTAAAATGTCAACTCTATATGTGTGATAATTACAAAATGTACAAGAGGCCTGATTTATCTTTTGTCACTAGTACTATTTGTTTTGTCTTATTAAAACATTAAGCTACTTGAAAACATTCACTCACTAAAGGAAGTACCTCAAAACCGTAATCACCCCCTAAAATGTCACGTGCACCACCCCTTAAACGTCAGCTAAAACAGGTTGTGTAGCACTCAGAATGTTGCTCAATTATTAATTTTAATCACTTCTGGGACAAATATAACCTATTTCTGAGAGGTGTCGACCAGAATTTCTCTCTCTGCTGAAAAAAAATGGTGGAATTTAGTCAATTTACTTTTTGTGACATTTTGGGGACTTTTTTTTAATACCCAGAACTTACGGCAAAACAGTAACTCAGTCAACAAAATTTACACCTGTAGTTGGATTATCTAGTTATAAACTAACAATTGGCACAAAAGAAATGGATTCAATGTGATTTTAACCTAGTGCAAATTGCATGTTTTAATTGCTTTTTTTGGGATTTTTAACATCATCCTGCATTTTGGCAATTTTAGTGACCTGTAGTTAACTAAGCCAACCCAGTAATCGATCTGACCTTCTCTATAGACTAGATTTGACTGCTTTTAGCAAAATTGAATGTCAAAAACTACGGTTTTTGGTACTTACTAGTTTATGGTAAACCTATGATATGCCCCCTAAAATGTCATTTTTTTCTCCCCTAAAATGTCAAATTTGTATTTTGTTCGCATGGTGTGCGATAATAGCTCTTGTTTTGGCACTTGTTAATTATTAACATCAACTATTAACGAAATGTGAGTATGCATTGCATCTTAGGAAAAGCCTGAGTAATTTGATCAGGTTAAAATGACATTTTAGGGGGGATAATTAGACATTTTAGGGGATGTTTATTGCGATTAATAAAATAAAACTAATTCCTTGAGCTGCCAAAGCTTTCCAATATTACCATTAGATGCTAAATATGATGTTTAATAGGCTGGTACCTCCATTTTATGGTGCTTGTAGTCTCAAAGCCAGAATCTGATAAAATTACATTTTAGGGGGCGGCCAGGTGACATTTTAGGGGAGGGTAGTAATATTGAGTAATGTATAACTTTCCATATCTCCAGTCATATGTACAGAGTTATAAAATTGTGCGATTTTTTTCAAAAGTAAAAAATTCGTACAAAGTGAAAAAAATGCCCTTATGGCATCATTTAGATTCAATTTCAGGATGTGGCAGGGTCTGACTGATATTTTTTATGTTTAGGAGTTACAAATGATTAGGTAAGATACTTTCTAAGAAGATGGGATCCAATCAATCAAGAGTGGCGTTTTAGGGGTGGGTGACATTTTAGGGGCGGTTTACCCGTACTTTGAATCAGGGTGAGTTTAAAACTATTATCGATAGCCCCTGCTAATAACGCTACCTCAAGGAAGTGAGAGGTACAGTAGAAAAATTCTAAAGTCGCGCGGTAAAAACAAACAAAATTGTTGTTAAATTAGGCGCGAAACACTTTGCCATTCATTACAAAATAGTCTTGAATCAAATAAAAGTCGTCGCGCGTTACGCAATGTTGAGCAAAGAATTTGAAATAGCCGCGTATCTGTGAAGACTTGCTCGTCCATGCCAGCAATTCAAGTAATGTGATAATATACTTCTGCTACCTATGAATTTATCATTTTTGTTGGTTAGTACTTAATTAAAAACACATGAAAACCTCGTACCGCTTCAGCAATAAGTTGACCCTCCAAAGTAGATTCATATCTGAAACTTCTGTCTATAATAGTAAACACGTCACCGTGCCGCAACAAACATTCCCCCGCTATCGGCGATCCGTTCACTCTGGTTGGGTTCTTCACGCTCAAGTTATATAACTTTACCTGAAATAGAATGATTTAACAAGACTATAGCGAAATATTTTAATTTTAATGCCACTAGCCTTAATCACACCTAATATAATAATATATTAATATAATAATACTGATAATAAATAATGAATGAGAAATAACACCTGTTATATTTTGTGAAACCTGTTCATTAGGCAACTACTTTGTTAGGAGATTAGATTCCGTTGGTAATTAGTGAATGAAACCATTGAGTTGCTTTCAACAATATGGCACCAAAAACACCCGATTTCGTCCAATAGGAATTCATAGTTTGCCATAGACCGGCGCCGCGATGGTAGCTACAGTACCCATTTCGTCAGGAATATGTTGTCATTTTCATACCCCCTCGATCAGCAATTTCATACATTACGGCCGTTTTCGAACCCCACCTCCTTAGCATAAAATTCTGACGTAAATTCTGAACCCTCCCCGGTTACGGTCATGAGTCGTCTGCAGTGGTGGTATGATTATCAGTTAGAGCATGTGATCGTGATCCTTCTAGACCAATTATGTGGCAGTACGTTATATAATATATTTAACATCTAAAGGAGTTTTACTTTATGTAGAAGAGGATTTTACATTCCAACGTAGCCATCTGATTGTCCATTCATAAGCTCCAAATCATACTAATTGTCCAATCGCAGAGCATCTTTGAATATTTATTTTGAAATACCTTACAAGACATATTTATAACGTACGGAAATGTGGCGGTTTTCCGAAAATTTCGCCATATTTTCGGACCACCAAAATTTCGGTCGTCGTAATAGAATCCGTCGCATTATCTTTTAGCTTATTTCAATGACTGTGCCTTCACTGCTTTATTTTGTTTCTAAAAAGTAATATCAAGTAAAATAAATAAATAAATTCTTGCATCTTGGGACAAATTATCACCACACCAATGACGAATTGAATGTCAAGCAATACAGTTTAAATTTGCATTAAAATACATGTATGTGCTAACATGAAAGTCTTACAGTCTTAATACAGACTAAGTTTGAACATGATTTTACCGAATTTCAGAAATTTCCTTACTGCTTACCGTCACAAAGAATGATGAAAAATACCCTTATTTTCTGTGACGTCCGAAATTTGACGATTTTTGTTCAATTTCGCCATATTTTCGGACCGCCAAAATTACGGTCGTCGCAAATTAGGCCGCCATAAATATGTCTTGTAAGGTACTATGAAACTCCCTACTGCACTGCAATTGTAACCGTGTTCTTATAGATACAACAATATATGGATAACCGTGATGTAAAAGTGTCGATCTTGGAGGTTTTCGCACTAGGGTACATGTCACACTAGGGTAAACATCGCACTAGGGTACATGTCACACTAGGGTAAACATCGCACTAGGGTACATGTCGCACTAGGGTAAATATCGCACTAGGGTACATGTCGCACTAGGGTAAATGTCACACTAGGGTAAATATCGCACTAGGGTACATGTCACACTAGAGTACATGTCACACTAGGGTAAATATCGCACTAGGGTACATGTCGCACTAGGGTAAATGTCACACTAGGGTAAATATCGCACTAGGGTACATGTCACACTAGGGTAAATATCGCACTAGGGTACATGTCACACTAGAGTACATGTCACACTAGGGTAAATATCGCACTAGGGTACATGTCACACTAGAGTACATGTCACACTAGGGTAAATATCGCACTAGGGTACATGTCACACTAGAGTACATGTCACACTAGGGTAAATATCGCACTAGGGTACATGTCACACTAGAGTACATGTCACACTAGGGTAAATATCGCACTAGGGTACATGTCACACTAGAGTACATGTCACACTAGGGTAAATATCGCACTAGGGTACATGTCGCACTAGGGTACATGTCACACTAGGGTAAATATCGCACTAAAGTATGTGGATCAAGTAGCTTGTAATGTTGTAACTCTATTATATGATCCCAGAACCCTCTCCAACCTCTAGTACGTGTGTGCTGTTCACTCTAATCGCTCACTCTTACAATCCCAACATTTACCAGCATTACTTCTTATTTAGTTAACTCTTCTTGAGTATTGAAGTAACAATTTAAGTGAAACATTCTGAAGTTAACTTCATGTTCATCTTTTGTTTTAAGTTAATGATGACCAGTGACAGCCACTAACTTGAAATTCAACGCTGTATTATTATTGCATCTCCACTTTCTAACAAGGAAATTACAAGACAACGCATTAGAAAGCTTAGTAACAAGGCTCACTTAGCATAACCTGGTTTACAGGTCAAACTTGTACAGATGTGACCACAATAACTACATCGTGCAAGCCAGTTCACATCTAATAGACTTGTTATATTGTCTATTGTAGGCTAGTTCTAGCAGCTAGATACGTTCACATGTTGACATCTCGACATTATGTTAATTCTGGCCCACCCTGCGCAACTTACCCCAATTTCCCATGCAATACAACTAATCTACTGTAGCATGGCCATTTGATTGAACTGACGCAGGCGCCGGGAGGGTTGCCCTGTTGTAAGTTCACTTTGTGTAGTATATTGTCTCGTTGCTCCAAAATATCATTGTGTGATTGTGTAGTATATAGCGTGTATAGACAACGGGGAGTTACCCAACAGATGCCGCATTCATTTTAACCTGGTACAGTTTGGGGCGTATCAGCTGATCAGGCTGAAATCTGAATCATTAGAATGATCTTCGTATAGTTTATGTACTAAAGTAAAAATTTTAGGCTCGGCTATTGTAATTAGGGTTTGACTATTGATCACATGGCTGTAATTTAAGAAACATGATACTCTCGATTTATTTGACTAAACTGAAATTATAGAAATAAAGACATAACGTCAGCTTGACTGTGTTACGCCTACAATACACCTGGTCCACTATGCATTTGTTTTCGATTACACTTTGTCAGCTTGTATGATGACAGTTTTCTACTAATAGAAGATGAGATGTACGTTCAAGCTATCATGATCGTTTACGTGATAGAAAGGAATCAATCGCACTCTCTGGTATTTCATGACTACTTTTCGTCGAAGTCTTAGATAATCAGTTATATGGCGTGGGCATCCTGATCTTTAGTTGTCACTTTACAAATTTATTTGTTCTCAAGCCATGCACTGGTTGCATGGAACTCTTCTGCTGATGTTGAGAAACCATTTATATAATCAGTTTTTATGTTTTTCTTTCCATTTGCATTGTCTTCACTTTGCAAGACACCTTGGCTTTTATTTTTTGCCGCACTCCATTTTATGTCTTGATCTCTACCTTTCTAGGATCTGTCTCTTTTTTATTTATTATGTCATTGTACCTTAATTATACCTACATGTATTGTCATGGTTTCTGCTTCTATTTAGTTTAGTGTGGTTTACAATAAAAGATGTTTTTATTTTGTCTTTGCCTTATGATGAGTTATACTTGGTCACATCACTCACAGGTAGCCGCTTTGACATGGTTAACCACCTTCCTTGTGTTGTTGGTTAATCATATGAGCGGGATATAAATACCTCATTTCATTTCATTACTTCGAGCCGAGCATTGTGCCTTAAATTATATTTATTTTATATTGTTTCTAAATCTGAGCGATATTAAATTTAATTGGTTACTGACGCAAGCTTAGTCAGTCGATAAATAGATATTACACAATTGGTGCTGTATAAATGTGAGACTACGCTTACTTTTGCTTTTGTGGTGATTCTGCTGACCTGCCGTTACGTATAGACACTAAACAGCTGTATCATCAGAAGTAGATGTTACCTCATCTACTTAGTACACATCTCAGGCTCGGTTAGTTGGTTATCGTTATTTATTTATTGTTAGCGACTTATCCAGAGTTATATTTTCATCGTATGACTCAAACTATGCTCAAAATCTCTTTGACCCTACCGAAATTAATGGAATGGATATATAAAATCAATTCCAGCTTGCTTACATATCTTTTCTGCTCGTATGAAACATGTATGCATTTATATTTAGTAATTATACGATTTCAGCTTGAGCATTTAAAATTCCTGTCGGTAATCGAGCTGTGTTCATTGGCGTGTACTGTTGAAGTGCAGTTTATCAATTTAGAAAACGAAATCTATAGCTCTATCATGATCTACAGTCCTATCGTGATCTTTTTAACTCATTAAAAAATCTCGTTTTGATCCTGACCAAAATTTTATGCTGGAAATTAATCAATCTATACACTCTGTTATTTCATTATTTCGAAGTACTATTTGCGCAACTTTTTGACTTATTATCCAGATTTCGTCAACGGGTTCCTCATTTGATAGTTTTTAGCATTACTCATCAAATCAAGCATTATGCGATACGTCAGCATTTTATAATTTAGATTGCATCATGTTTAATATAACATATGTATAATATATTTTCCATTGTACGTTGCTTAGCGATATTAGAATTTGATTGGTAGCTGACGAGAGCTTTGTCAAATACGTCTGAATATACGTCAAAACAAATGAGCACTACTCCGGCCACCTCGCCAGTTTTATAGTATATTTGAATCGTTTCAATTTTGCATTGTGATGTGCCATTATATCAGTTGCAGTAGTTATGATCAGTCAATAGTCATCAATCTTCATGAAGATTGAAACCTAGGCGATTATCGATTAACCTCAGAACGTTTAAAATGTGATCTAAGTATTTGACGATGCAGTTGAACTGAAGTTTTAAAACTAATTTGTGACCTATGTGACCTATATTGAGATTCGTTAAGCTTTAACAGGGCCATCACATTGTGTGACCACCCCAATTTGAACTCTTTAAACTCAATTTTGAACTCAATTTTGAACTCAATTTTGAACTCAATTTTGAACTCAATTTTGAACTCAATGTTGAACTCTTTACAGGAAATGGAACAGTTCCAGAAACTGCAGCACATGTCCACAACATCAGTTCCCTACTCGTCGAGTTCCTGGCCCTGGGTAACAAGTGGCAAGACAGCAGCGCAAGTGATATCTGGATTCAGCATACTGATAGTGATAGTGGGGATATTCACAAACATACTGTCCT